TTCCAGTTGATAGCTAGGCACTTCCACAATTTTAACCAACTTAGTGGAGTTCTTACCCCCTCTTGTAGCTGGACATGCTCTCAATATGGGTGGCCTGTGCTGAGTTGATCTTAGTTACAGTGGCTGAGCCAGTAGGAGGTGTGCTGAGCTGATCTCAGCTGGAAGTCACTCAGCAGATTTTATCTGTAACATGTAGTATGTATCTGTAGTATGTTAATCTACTAGAGTTCTCTGAGATTCATAAATATTAAAGCCAGGAGGGGCTATTTTGGTCATTTTGTCTAACCTCATGCATAACACAGGCCATAGAATTTTACCTAATAATTCCTGGAAGGAATTTATCCTTCCCTTATATCTAATTTAACCTCTTAACCTAGTGTCTTTTCCTGTGCAGGTCAGTAACACAACAGTGCTTGGGTCCTGTGCCGTTTATTTCTCAATACTCTTCCCAAGTTACAGATAAAATGTATTTGTTTTATACCTACATAAAATACCATGTCCGTTTCTGTCCACTGAATGGATGACATGATTGGAATAAATGACAAATCAAAGGATTATTTAAACATTTGGTTCCTAAATCATCTGTATTTCTTGAAGATCAATATTTTATGAGGAGGAGATGCTACCAGATTATGGATATATCTTCTTTTCTTGGAATAACTAGAGTGACTGACTTAAATCGAGCTTCTGAATGCAAGTGACACTACATGTCTCTGGGCTAGTCTGCATCAGATTATAAAGATCGTTCTCCTCCAGGTATAAGGTATTATTCATGATATATTGGATGTAATTGTATTTAAAGGCCCGTAAAGATGTCTAAATGCTAGTGCCCAGTGAGACTTACAGTAGAGAGAGAGAGAGATGCCTCTTGACAAGATTGCAGGCTTGTCACAGAGCAGAGGAAGTCAGATGCAAGATTTCTCTGACAGTGACTTCCTGCAGGAAGGCTCTAGGTGGGTTGCCAGCCCAATGCAAAGGGGAGGCCCCATTTGGAGAGAAGAGTTGGAGAGGAAGTTCACCTTGCAGCAACGGCTCCTATGTCTGCAGGGCTGGGCACGGCTCTGTGTGTTGTGACAGGGCACACAGGGTCACAGCATTCCTCTCTCAGATCTGGCTCTACTTCCTGCTTCCTTCCTCCTGTCATGATGGAGGGGCAGCAGAGCCAAACCTGAGCGAAGGGCACTGCGACCCATATGCCAGTTTGCAATGTCTGGAGCAGGTAGCTGGGCCCACACCTGCAGGACACGAGCAACCACTGCCCGTGCCTGGGGTGAGCCAGAGGAGGCACACTCTTAGCCCCTCCTGTCTCGGGGCCTCCTCGCCTCACCAGAGTAGATGAGGGGTAGGGTGCTGCTGCAGATGGTCATTGCCCCCTTATTTGTCTGGGCATTTTTTATCAAATATCACAGAGCAATCACTAATCCCATGACTTTTACTACATTTACCATGATTGTTCCATGATTTTTTTATTTTAGAAAAAATGCTATAACAAATCTGCAGCCCTAACAATGCATAAGTCAAGGGCCTATGAAGGAGCTTAATAAATTAGCAAGTGAGTACCAATTATTCAGAGAATAATTAGAAATGACTGCATCCGTCATCTTTAGTTTCATTTAATTATTTTCCAGCTAGGATCTCCAAAATCTCCATGTGTTGCTACCTAACCTTATTGTAGAAAATCAGAAAGCTCTATGGTGTAAAGAATTAGTATGGAAACTTTAGGGTTTTTTTAACATTACAGATGGCTTGAAATAGATGAGACTAATATTCTAATGTAAAAGGGAACTTAAGTTTGTTTGTTTGAAAATGAGGTCCAAGTAATGGAAGCAAAAGTCTGTATGGATTTCAAACCCCCTTTTGTGATGATTGATTTGTGTCTTGACATTTGACATGGCATTCTCTTGAACCTTGTAATGACATAAAGGGCAGATATCATACTATGAATAGGGAGCTTGTTTTTGCCTTAGAGTTGAGACACATTGCTTTTTATTCTAAATTTTCTCATTTTAATTGCAAATATTGAAATTTCACATTTTAGACTATAGAACAAGCACAGATCAATTTTAATTTAGCAATATGTACATTGGATACCACTGAGTGTAGTGTGCCAATAGTACATATATTGCCAGGATTAATCCCTGTTTGAAGAGTTTTTAAATTTTTATTCTGTGGCTTGTATATCTATGTATATATTGATTATGTGTATATATTATGATATAGTCTTTAGTTACATTGAATCATAGAATTCATAGACTCATAAAATATTAGGGTTGGAAGAGACCACTGGAGGTCATCTAGTCCAACCCCCTGCTCAAAGCAGGACCAACACCAACTAAATCATCCCTGCCAGGGCTTTGTCAAACCGGGCCTTAAAAACCTCTAAGGATGGAGATTCCACCACCTCCCTAGGTGCTTCATCACCCTCCTAGGTGAAACAGGATCACATACTATTTTTCAGCATTCTACATTTTGCCTCTTTCAGTGAATAGGATGGATGGTGGTTAGCAATGTATCACAAGTTGTACAGTGAATGAGGCTATTGTCTATAGGACTCCTACCACATTTGCTTCATAAGTTGAAGGTCATGTAGTGAAAGAGACACAGACTGCAGAAGGAGAAAGGATGGTCTTATGGTTAAGAAAAGGAGTACTTGTGGCACCTTAGAGACTAACCAAATTGGTTAGTCTCTAAGGTGCCACAAGTACTCCTTTTCTTTTTGCGAATACAGACTAACACGGCTGTTACTCTGAAACCTGTCCTTATGGTTAAGGTAATTGAATGTCACCCAGGAAACTAGGTTCTATCAGCGTGTTTTTTACCACATACAACTTCCTGTGTGATTCTGGACTAGCGTTGCCAGATGTCCGGTTTTCAACCAGAATGCCCAGTCAAAAAGGCGACCGTGGTGGCTCCAGTCATGACCACTGACCGGAGCATTAAAAGTCCGGTCAGCGACGCAGGGGGCTAAGGCAGGTTCCCTGCCTGCCATGGCTCCACGTGGGTCCCAGAAGCAGCGGCATGTCCCCTCTCCGGCTCCTACGTGTAGGGGCAGCCAGGAGGTTCTCCACAGTGGCCCCGCCCCAAGCACCACCCCCACAGCTCCCATTGGCCAGGAGTGTCAGGGCAGTGTGCAGAGTCGCCTGGCCACGCCTCTGTGTACGAGCTGGAGGGGGGGGCATGCCACTGCTTCCGGAGCTGCTTGAGGTAAGCACTGTCCAGAGCCTACACCCCTGACCCCCTGCCCCAGGCCTGATCCCCTCCTTCCCTCTGAACCCCTCAGTCCCAGCCCAGAGAACCTTCCTGCACCCCAACCCCTCTTCCCCATCCCAGAGCCCTCACCCCCCCCCATTGCCCCAACCCCTTGCCCCAGCCCTGATCCCCCTCCTGCCCTCCGAACCCCTCATCCCCGGCCCCACACAAGAGCCCACACCCCTACCCCAGCCCTGATCCCCCTCCCACCCTCCAAACTCCTCAGTCCCAGCCCAGAGCACCCTTCTGCACCCCAAACCCCTCATCCCCAGACCCATCCCAGAGCCTGTGCCCCCAGATGGAGCCCTCACTCCCTCCCGCACCCCAACCCCTTGAGCCAGCCCGGTGAAAATGAACGAGTGAGTGAGGGTGGGGAGAGTGAGCAACCAGGGGGGTGGGTGGGTGTTGAGTGAGTGGGGGCAGAGCCTCAGAGAAGGGGCGGAGCTTCTGAAGAGGGGCGGGGCATGGGGCAAGGACGTTTGGTTTTGTGCAAGTAGAAAGTTGGCAATCCTATTCTGGACATGTCATTTAAAGCAACATTTTCACATGTTATGTTACCTTCTATGAACGTAGATAAGCCTGAGTTTCCTCATTTTACAGATCACATAGAAAAATACTAACATTTGGCAGAGTTTCCAGAAAGTAGTGTGACTAAGTGGCCTACACCTTTAACCTCTCAGTAAGATATAAGGTCTTCCTCAGTAATAAGAGATGTAAAAGGCACATAAACTAATATCAGACAATAGGAGAGGTGAATGTAAGAATCCTGGTGGTCTGATTCCCAGCACATTGCACCTTCCCCTAGGTCAAAGGATATTTGGATGGAGGAAAGTACCAGGGAGGAGAAGATGAAGCATCACTTCGCTTGTGTCCTGTCTAGAGGATCAGCTACATGTCATATGCTGAGGAGAGATTTGGGGACAGTCTATGCACAATGCTGATAATATGTTATGCTATTTTAGCAGTCAGTCTGTAGCAAGTGCTATTGGGAAAGCACAGACAGAAAATGGAGATTTTCAGCATCTTATAGCTCAGCTCAGTCTGATTTGGATTTTCATGGAGAGAGCAAAAGGCACCTCTTTAACTCCAGAACTGTCTTGTTGCCAACATTCAAAGTACTGTTGCAAACCATGTAACTATCAGAGCTCTTAAAAAAATATTTTAAAGGAAACTTTTTTTTTTTATAATGGAAAGTGCTAGAAAACCTAAATATTGTGGTCACTACCATTCCCCATGTAATAAATGTATATACTTCAGCATTTAAAATCTTCACCGCTCTGTGCAAGCATGGGCTAATTAATCTCACCTATGCAATATAGAAAAATGTTATCTGTCATTTACAAATAGGGAAATAAAGTGACTTTGGCCAACGTAATGCTGATTCATTTGACAGAATTAGCACTAAAATAATGACTCCTCATTCCTAATCTCATACCTGTTCTCTCATCACAGGCATACAGGAGTACTCTTTACATAGGAAAGTAATGTACTCTATAAGTCTGACATATGACTGACCAAGAAAACTGAGATCCTGAGATCATTACGCTGCTTATGGGTGCATCAGAAATTCAGATAGCAGGCTAGCATTTTATGCTGTTCTGCTAATCAATTTTAGATAAACTATTCTTCATGGAATTAAGAAGTTATTGATATCAAGACTCCAATCTCTGCTAAAGAGGTGGAGGTCAGTCAGTCTGGCAGTGATAATTTGTTGGTAAAGAAACCTTAACTTGATGTTCTTACTGTTCCAGCTGGCCTTGCTGAATTTCTTCCTCCCTGAAGAAAAATCGCATCTTGAAGAAGAAACTAGGCATGTCCGCCGAAATAAAAGGAGTAAAAGTAGTGAAGGACCTGATGGTGAGTTTGTCTTTATTTCTTAAATTGCATTTCTCATTTTCACAGACAAGTGAGGGACAAGCAGTTTTTTCAGGTAGTGAATATATGGTGGATTGTGTAAGTTAACAAGGGAGCTCCTGTCTCGTAGTGCCTCCATGAACTTACTTGGCATCCAGATCATTAGTTCCATAAATTCCTGTTTCCACACTACACTGTCTAGTCAGGGATATTAAAATTAATATCCTAACCAATTGTTGTTTGCCCCAACTATCATTATTTTTTATAATGACTCAATAAGGGAATTCATCTTGTCTAACAGTAAGGCCTTTGGCTTGCATACTGACATGATTTGTTCATATACTGCCTTTGCTCCCTATTTCCTTAAAATCCATGTTCAATAGGTTGTTGTGCAGGCTAAACAGCTGTGAACAGCACTACGCTACAGAGTGGAGATGTGTTGTAACTGGGACACTGTGTGTGGTTGTAGAATAGATTGGTCCAAGCTCCACACCGCTTAACCTCTAAATACTTAATATTCTTTGAGTGTTTGTGTACATATATATTGTACTGCAGGTGTGCGTGCACCCAAGCACTTGAGCCAGACACTTTTGGTCAGAAATTGGGGCGACACATACATCCTGAGTGTCTTCCTGCTCTCAACCAGGGTCAGAAAGAGATGGGGCCACCCAACTCCCTCTCAGTTCCTTGTCAGCTCACAGCTTGATGCCTCATAGCTTACTGTTATTCAGCACTTATCAAAACTCTTTTATAAACTTAGTTTACATAATAATTAGTCAGTAGTCAGATAGTGGTAGGTTTTTGATGGTGTTCCTTTCTCTCTCTCTCTGTTTTTGAGCGAATTCTCTCCCTTTTTTTCTGGGTTGGTATGCAAATACTGTGGTTATTCTTCTTTTGTTTAGGATGCCAGTGAGAAAATCCCTGGGTTTTAAAAATTGTCTGTCCTGTCAAGCAGCCATACCTGTAAACAACGGGCACATGAGGTGCTTTTTCTTTAGAAGAAGGCCACATTTCAGAGAGATGCACTGTATGTAGATCCTTCTCTAGATGAACAAAGAAATCTAGATAGAGCCAACTGAGAATATACTTCATGAAAAACTTCACACATCCAACCTTGTATCTGGGTCACTCCCAGAATACTAAGCACCCAGATTGTTTCATTGAGGAGTGCTTCATAAGCCTTTGTACCTTCAGTAGCCCTTTTGATTCTGAAGACCTCGTCCTGTGAAAGAGGGAGAAATCCCCAGAAGTCCACTAGAGAGAAGACGCATCAGTCACAGTCTCTAAAGCCATCATCTAAAGCCTTTAAGTTATCTTATACCTCAAAGGGAAAAAAGTATTGCTCAAAGACCAGGAGAGACTTCTTGATCAGCCATTCAGCCCATAAACATGAGGCCTGAGTACCAACTGAGAACTTACCTGAATCTGGCACTGAGCAGACTTCGTCACAGGACCTAGTACTGCTATCTTCGACTGCAGTGGTTCAATTTCTTCCAGTACAGATAACCCCAGTACCAACGATTTTGATACCAACTAGGTCAATGCCGATTACTCTCTCAGCACTGACTAGCTCGTTATCAGCAATTGCTTTCCATCTCACATTCAGTACAGTCCTTCCCATTACTGACTCTATTGGTACTGGCTACACCACAATCATATATAGTAGCTAGAGATCTCATGATTTCATCCATCCTGGACTCTCCACTCATCTCAGCTGAGTTTGCATCAGTCAGGAGTACTAATACCCACTACATACAAAGTTTACCCACAGTGCTGGTGAAGACATTCTATCTTAGCCCATGATCCACACCCATTGGCACTTCAGCTGTCCTGCCTGAAGAATATTCCTTCTGATCTTCAGTTAGGGAGCAGCAGAGAAGCCTTTCCTGTGGCATCATTATTGGGTTATAGACTTTTTCCTTCCTTGACAGCTCGTCATTCCAGAGTGGAATCTTATACTAGCAATAGATCCCTCTCTAGGGATATTAACCCTTGGGGACCTGTGTGTTGGCCTTACCAGACACGTTGTGGCTATTCCTCATGCTAGCAGATCCACTTCATCAGTGCAATCAAGACCTCAATCTCCAGAGCCTCAACTTACTGAAAAAGTCACTTCCACCAAACCACCACCTCCTCAGGTTCTTATCTCTAAGGCACAGGCAGAAGAGGAACTTAAAAATGAACCTCAGTGGATCCCATTCTTTATATCATCCTCTTCCCCAGATGAAGCTATTGCTCCTGAGCCTATACCATCTATGCCTAACAACTGTAAGTCATTACAGGAGCTCATGAGGAGAGTGGCCTCTGCTCTACAGAGGAGAGTGGCCTCTGCTCAGCTCCTGTAGAAGTTATCCAGGAGAACCCTCACAGGCTACTAAACATCTTGTGTACTGCAGTCCCTGGTTGAGTGGCACTGCCTATCAATGAAGACCTCTTAAATCTCACTAGATTGTTATGGCAGGCTGTAGCCTCCATACAACCCACATCTAAAAAGGCTAACCAAAGTTACCAAGTTCCAGCACAGGGTTTTGAACAATTCTTCTTTCGCCTGGTGCCAGGATCATTAGAGGTGATGGCTGCAAATGAGAGGTATAGGCAGGGACAACAGATATCCACACATAGGGACAAGGAATCCTGTAGGCAGAAAAAGCAACTCTATGGCGAGCTTATAAATGAGAATCGCAAATTACCAAGCGGTTCTCTCCAAATATGATTATACTAACAGGGATTCACTTCAGAATTTACAGACAAATTGCCCACAAACTCAGAGAGGAGTTTAAGTCCATCATGGCCAAGAGCCAGGTAAATAACCACTTCTTAAAAGCCTGAGCCAAGAAAATAAAAAAAAGCACCAGAAATTTAAGTGTTTATCAACTCACCAGCTTGTTAAAAAATTAAGAAATCAACATTTGGGTCTCAAACCACAGGAGTGGAGACCCTTGGGTTTTTTAATTGTCTTTTGACACTATAGTACAGGGATCAGCAACCTTTGGCACGTGGCCCCCCAGGGTAAGCCTCCTGGCGGGCCGAGCCGGTTTGTTTACCTGCGGCATCCGCAGGTTCGGCTGATCACAGCTCCCACTGGCCGTGGTTCGCCGCTCCAGGCCAATGGGGGCTGCAGGAAGTGGCATGGGCCAAGGGATGTGCTGGCAGCCGCTTCCTGCAGCCCCATTGGCCTGGAGTGGCGAACCACGGCCAGTGAGAGCTGCGATCGGCTAAACCTGTGGACGCAGCAGGTAAACAAACCATCCCAGCCCGTTAGGGGGCTTACCCTGACAGGCCATGTGTCAAAGGTTGCCGATCCCTGCTATAGTAGAAACATTACTTTGCACTATAATAGAAACAGGTTGAATGTAATCAAAATTTGTCTCATTCATCTGACATCATTACAGGTAATATAGTTCAGGACATCCATGCTAAAGCATTTTCCCCCCTGTATACCTCCCATGTTGCACAATCATGTTTGCATTGATGCATTTTTGGAAGATCTGGGCAGTTATCTCATACTCCGTCACCTGATTGATTGTGGGCATCTTTCACATAGTATAATATAGTTTGTCTTGTGTTTCTGCATAGATATGTGAAAGGTTAGTAGGATTCGCTAACTTGGGTACATAGAGATGAGTAATTAGAAGAAACATTCTTCAAACTGCTCCCTAACCCTGGAATAACATCATACATCCTGTGCATCAGTCAACTTCACTTGCCTATTCTTCTTTCCCTTCCTCAGTCTTTATTTCAAAATATGAGAATCTATCTATATATATATAATTCACTCATGATGTAGTGATTCACATTCTTTGTTGTAACACTTGTTTCTTCTTTCCCTACCCCTTTAGTTTGTCTATCTTCACGTTTTGAATTGGTCTGATTACAGTTACAAACTCTTTGGAGTAGGGGTTGTATTTTTTATAATCTCTTTCAAACTCTATGCAAAGCATAGTGCTATATAAATGATTATTAGTAATAATAACCTAACTACAGCTTGGCAATTGCTACAGCCTAGCCCCAATAACTTCCAGGATGGTGGGTTGTAGAAATGTGTCAGCTTTGACCCCACCTCTCTTCCTTAGTTCACCTACCAGAACTGTGGCTCACCTGAGGATTAAGGCTTTTGTCAGTATCCAAGAGTAAGTCATTTTACATCAGTAGATAGCATGAATCTAACTAATGAAAAAAATCTCCACTTTTCCATGACCAAAAAGACAGAAAGTGATTAGTTTGCTATGACTAATCATAACCTTCTGACTAATTTTTGCATAGAATTTATTCTAGTGCTTTACTTTCATCTCTGTACATCCTGTTATGTGTGGCCTGATTCAGGAAGGCTCTTAGGTATAATGCTTAAGTCCTTTCTTGATAGGTTTGCTTTCCTGAATCGGCCCCCTATGTATGGTACTCAATGTTGCAGTTCAACAACATTTTATGTTAAACCTTTTAAAAAATTGTCTAGCTGGCTAGGCGTAAGAGATAATAATCTCTGCTGGAACCACACAAAAAAACTTGAAACTAAAAACATATGTTCTAGAGTTTCCCAAGAATCTAAACACTGCATCAGCATCCTATTACAATTAATAAGATTGTTTAAAAAAATACCGTATTGGTTTGGTTTAATATCTCGCTGTAAGGAAACATGCAGGGAGAAAACAGTGGCTCAAGATAAGCGACCCTATGATAAACACTTAAGGGTTGTTATGGGGACAAATAGGGAAGCCCAGTCTCCTGCTGAGCCTACCAAACTGCTTGAAAAAAGCTACTCTCTCTCCTGCATCTCCACCCTCCAAGGGGTAGTTTTTAATAGCTTTATGGGGAAAGGTTACTGATACAGGTTTCAGAGTAGCAGCCGTGTTAGTCTGTATCCGCAAAAAGAAAAGGAATACTTGTGGCACCTTAGAGACTAACCAATTTATTTGAGCATAAGCTTTCATGAGCTACAGCTCACTTCATCGGATGCATACTGTGGAAAATACAGTGGGGAGATTTATATACACAGAGAACATGAA